CCGCCGCAGGCCTGCTTGGTACCGCTGCGCGCCTTGGGGGCGCGGCGGTGATTGTGTCGGCGCAGGGCTCAGCGGCGGCCGTTGCCGCCGCGCTGCGCGCCGCCGGCGGGACGAAGGGGCGCGCGCGTGACAGGACCCGCGCTTACCTGCTGCATAATGTGGCGGCGCTGGCGGCTAATTGCGCCACCATCCCCGGCGGAGACCGCTGGACGATTGAGCTCGCGGCGCCGCGGCATGGCGCGCTGCGCGCACTGGTCAAGGCCGCGCGCGCCGGGCCCGCCGCGTTTACGGCGCCGGGCGGCAACCCCAGGGCCGACGTCTTGCTCGTTGACCCTGTGGTTTTGGGCGCCCACGTCGCATGCGTCCTCGGCGCCATCGCCTACTCCATGAGGGATCCCATCGATGCCGCTACCGCGGCGCCCGCAGCGGCGAGGGACGCGGCCGCGGCGGTGCTGCCGCCTGATGCAGAGTTGCGGGCCCTCGTGTGGGGCGGCCTCGCGGCGGGCGGCCGGGAGGGGCTGGCCTGCGCGCGGGCCGTGGCGCTGCGCTCGAGAGCCGCGCGATATGACCTGGCCGCCACGCCCGGCGTGCTTGCCTGGCTGGCGGCGGCGGCCATCGACGGCGCGGGCGTCCCCGGCCCCGCCGGATCGACGTCGGGCTCTGCGCTGCAGCTGCTGCACACACTCAGCGGCGGCCGGCCCGGCCAGCCGCCGGAGCGCGGCTGCGTGCCGTGCACGGACGCCGGGTGCGTGGACCCGAACTGCTCCATGAACTTCCGCGCGCCAAACGCGGCAGTGGCGCGCGAAAGGGCGGCCCTTGGCCTGCAGGCCATTGCCAGGTTTGCAGTCGCCGGCGAGGATGATGGGAACGACGCGATGCCGGCCGCCAACGCCGCCGCGGCGCTCGAGGCGCTGCAGGCCGGGCGGCTGCGCGGCGGCGTCGCGAGCGGCCTGGGCGGCGGCGCTGGCGCGGCAGCTGGGGCGCCGGTCGCGCCGGTGCTGGCGCGGCAGAAAGCGAAGGCGTCTTGCGCAGCCTGCGGCGCTGACCAGGCACAGGACGGTTTAAAATTCAAAAAGTGCGGCGCCTGCGGGATACCAAGGTGAGCGCAGGGCAGCCTCTGCCCTTGGAACATCTGTCCAGACCCTCGCAACTACCCCCACGTCTTGCGCCTCTGCTGGTCGTCGCTGCGGCGGGGCTGATTTTGCCCTGCTAGGCCGCATCACCTCTTGGCAGCCTGGCGGCGTGCGCCGAGCCGCATGTCACTACTGGGCGGGATGGACGCAGCAAGAGGGGATGGGGCCCCGCAGCACTGCACGAGCCGCGCGCGCTTCTCACACTGAACGCGTGCACACGCCCAGGCGTATTTTGAAATGCTCGACCAAGTGCGCGCATGCGCAGTCAAAGCACCAAACGCCAATGGATATTCACATCCACATCAACACTCACACGCGCGTGCGCGTGCTCATCAACACAGGTACTGCGGCCCTCAGTGCGCCAAGGCTCACTGGAAGGCCGGCCACAACAAAGAGTGCACAGGCTGCAGGGGCGCAACGGCCGGCGGGGGCGGCGGGGGCGCGAGCAGCAGCGGCGGCGGCGGCGGCGCGGCTCAGGCCGCACGGCAGTCGTAGTGAGGCTGCCAGCTTGCCGATTGTTGCTCTTGAGTTACAGGTCTGTTCTGGTGTTGGGTGGCCCAGGCCAAACATGTTGGGGTGGGGGGCTGCTATGGCTGTGCGGAGCGGCTGTTCATGGGGTGGGCGGTGCACAATTCACATTGCCAGTTCAAGGGCCGACGGGAAGCACTCCGCGCACAACATTGCGCCTTGTTGGAAGGCCGCCGCACCAGCGGCGG